GCCCCCTCATCAGCCGCCCCGAACCGAGGCGGCGCCCCCCGAGGCGGCGGACGAGGGCGGCCCGCGGGCCCGGCTCCGCAGCCGCGACAGCTCGTGCGGCCGCCCCGGCACCCCGGGCGCGGCGAGCACCGCCAAGGGCAGCCCGAACGGCGAGTGCGGGCGCGGCGAGCCGCAGTGCAGCCCCGCGGGGCCCGAGGGCCCGGCGCGGGGGCCCAAGGTGTCGTTCTCGTGCCGCGGTGCGGCCGCGGGGCCAGCGCCGGGGCCGGGCGCAGGGCCGGGGCCGGGGCCGGCGGATGAGGCGGGCAGCGAGGAGGCGGGCCCGGCCGGGGAGCCGCGCGGCAGCCAGGCCAGCTTCATGCAGCGCCAGTTCGGCGCGCTCCTGCAGCCGGGCGTCAACAAGTTCTCGCTGCGGATGTTCGGCAGCCAGAAGGCCGTGGAGCGCGAGCAGGAGCGCGTTAAGTCAGCGGGGGCCTGGATCATCCACCCGTACAGCGACTTCAGGTACCGCCTCCGGGAGGGGCCGGCCAGCGCGGAGGGGCCCGGAGAGCGGACGCGCGCGGGGGCTGTCCTTGGAGCGCCTTGGGGAGGGCGGGGCGGCGCGCCCGGCCGGTGACCTCGGGGGCTCCTCGGTGACCTCGGACGTGCCGGGACCCGCCCCGAAGTGCTCCTCCCTTTGGGGGCTCTCGGGGGCGCGCGCGGGCTCCCGGGGTGACCCCGGCGGGCTCCCTCCCACGCACCCTGACATCCCCAGCCCCGCAGCGCGGCGGCTGCACGTCGAAGGCCGCAGGGCCAGGGTCTGAGCGCTGGGGGGCGGAGAGGACGAATAGAGGGGAACGTGGGCACCAGGGAGCGGCGGCTCAGGAGCCAGGAGGAAAGAAGCGTGCCCCGGAGGACGCGCCCGAGAGTCCGACAGAGAAGGGGTTAAGCGAATGCGGGGCGCCCTCACGGTCTCCACCTGCACCCCGCGCCAGGAGGAGGCATGTCCGGGGTCCGCGGGCCTGGGTTGCGTGCGAAGAGGAGGCGCTGAGCGCGTGGGGTCCCCAGGCTGTGTGTTCTATGAGCCCCTCAACCCGAGCCGCTGGGTGGTGCGCCCATGTGTCGGTGGGTGTGTAGATGTCGATATGGATTAAACTGGTTAATGCCTGGAAGGGCTTAGAGCAAGGCCTGGCGCAGGGCCACGGCCTCATGTTTGGGGTTCTGGTTCCTGGGAGTGCGTTGTGTGGCTGGCGAGAGTGAACAGGAGCATGTGACTGCGGAGGGCAGGGGTTCTGGGGGCCTGGCGATCTGGGGGGAGGCGTGTCCCCAGGGGTGTGTCTGCGTGGTGGCTCATTGGTGTGTGTTCCAGTGGTGCGTGTGCGTCCATGTGCGCACCCGTGTGCAGGGTGTGTCTGTGTCAGTGGGTGTGTATGTGTTGGTAGGACGTCTGATTTGTGTGTGTTGGGGAGAGGTGTGTGTGTGCGTGCGTCAGTGGGCAGTGGTGTGAGCTGTGTGCAGGTGTCACACGTGGAACCGTGGAATTCTGCGTGACCGAGTGAGCCAGAGAGTTTATGTCTGTTTGTGTCTGAGAGTTGGGTGTGCAGGGTGTAGGTGGGACGTGCCTCTCCACCAAACCCGGGCACTTGGGGCAAGCACGGTTTCAGCACCGCGGACAGCGCCCCGGCCTCTGGGATTCTGCCGGCTCTTTTCCCGCCCTGGTCTCTCCTCCCCCAGGCCTGAGCCCCCAAGACTGGGCCCCGTTTGCCCCTGGACCCCCAGATCTGGACAAGGGGGCTGTGGAATCTCCCTTTCCCTGGCCCCTCTGCACCCCCCATGCTTGACTAGGAAGCAAGCCCAGAGGCACACAAGTTGGACAGAGCCTGGAAGAAAGCCCCAGATTCCAACTCCCCACCCCTGAGGCCTTCCTGAGAGGTGAACACAGCTATGACCAGTAGCCTGGATTTCAGGAGAGGCCAGGGGTGGGAGGACCCCAGGAGGGGCTCAGAAGGATTGCCTCTGGGCCCTCCCACCCTGCATGTGGGCATTCAGCATTTCCCTGCAGGTGGCCAAGCTGGGAGGGCTCTGGCCAGTGTCTGGGCTCAGTGTTCCAGTCTGTGAAGTGGGGACAGCAGGGAAGGATGGACTGGGTTTCCAGGGCCCCCTGGTCTGCCTGGCCCCACTGTGAAGGGGGTGCTAGCGCCAGTTGGCCAGAGGGATGTGGGGACCTGGTGGGCAGGGGGCCGCATACAGCACCCACTCCCCTTGGTCCCTTGTAGCATGTCTACCAGCAGCACCTCCCCACCCCCACACTAGCAGCCCACAAAGGGTGGGCACAAGGCTGGCGCTGGGAGCTGGCAGCTCTGGGTTTCCGCTTGGCTGCAGAAGGGCAGCGTGAGGCTTGGGGGGCAGGTGGGCCAATCCCGAGGTGGATGGGGGGAGAAGGCTGGTAGGAGGAGTGATGCTCGCTCAGCCTTGTGCTCCATTGTGGGCCTTGTCACATGCTCTGAGATACAGAGGGGCCATGGAGGCCATGAAGTCCCAGCAGGGCAGAGAAATTGAAAGATGGGGGGTTGGCAAGTGGGGAGGGGGCAAGTGTGGCCTGTTTTGGGGACTAGGGGAGCAAGTGGTTAGTTTTTATTTATTTATTTATTTATTCTGAGACAGGGTCTCGCTCTGTCACCTAGGCTGGAGTGCAGTGGCCCCATCATAGCTCACTACAGCCTCCAACTCCTGGCCTCAAGCAATCCTGCTGCTTCAGCCTCCCAAAGTGCTGGGATAACAAGCACAAGCCACTGCACCCAGCCTCAAAATTTTAAAAAGGACTTAGATGTTGCCAATCTGGGGTGCACTGGGGCCTCTACCAGCCTCCCGTACTTTGGGACCTGTGCCCCTTTTAGACCCTTCTGATTCAATACGGAGACAGACCCCAAGTATATCACAAGAACAATGCTTCCTGAGCCCTGCCCCGCCAAGGCCAGGGGCTGTTGGAAACACCTTACGAGTACTGATTTAATAATATTAATTATTACAGCGGTGAGGGGGGTGCTGTCCCATTTTACACAGGAGGAAAGGGAGGCTCGGAGAGGTAAAGTCACTTTCTCACAGCCACACAGCTAGTCAGGCAGATCTGGGATTCCCATCTGGACAGGCTGGCCAGGTATCCGCACTCTTGGCCGCAGGCAGCCCAGCCTCTGCCTGAGTCCGATCCAACAAGGGGAAATGGGAGACACAAGGCATTCTGGGGACTGCTGGAGACGTTGACGGTCCCCAGGGTGGGCAGTGGGTAATATTGGTATATGTGTCTATGTTAATTTCCTAAAACCATGTGTGAGGAATGTGGGGAGACTTCTCTGTGCCCACTCTCTGCCTTTGCCCCTTCTGTGCTCACAGCCTGAAGGTGAGGAAACCAGCCCCACTGGGGCGATGCTCAGGCACCACGTGACAGGAAAAGGGAGAAGGAGCCTCCCCAGCCCCCGCCCCCCGCCCCACTTCCTGACCCGGAGGCTGGAGGTCCCCCCACCTCCTTGGTTTGCTTTCTGCTGGTGGAGGCCACCTGTGAGACCAGCCTGCGCCCGGCTGGCACTGAGGACGGGACCGTTAATGTTTGGTGAACTGGGACAGCCTTCACTCTGCAGACTGCAGAGGAGGGGCACTGAGGTGGCCCTGGGCCACCAGGACAGCCCGGCAGAGCCAGGAGCAGGAACGTGGGCTGTCTGGGGGCCAGGCCCCGCTGCGGAGGTTGTCTCAGAGCAGCTTGTGGCAAGCAGGGGAGGCCTCTGCGTCCAATCACAGCTGGCTCCGGAGTCGGAGCCCGGACGGGGGCCCAGTACCTCCCATGAGGCCAGGTCCCTTGGGTCCTCTCTGGGCTCCTCTGCCTCAGTTGCCTCAGATGTGAGGTGGCAGTGGTAGGAGGAAAGAGGGGGTGGGTGTCCACCTATCACAATCAGGCCAACATCCTGTGGGCCTCGCACACCCTGGTCTCGTCCTGTTCCTGCTGGCGGCAAGCCTCTGCCCCACCGGGCACGCCCGCAGCCCGCAGCCGGTTCCGATCCTTTGCCTCCCCGGGGCCGCCCTCGCTGCCCGGGGCCCTTCTCTCCAGCCTGCTCCAAGTTCCTGCTGCTCGCTTGCTAGGAAGTGGCCTCCTCCACTTGTCACATCCCAGACTCTGGCACACCGTGGGTGCCACATTTTTGCTGAATTCGCCAAGGGGCAGACGCAGGTCCAATCTTGACTAGTTTCCTCGGCAGCCTGGGTGGGGCCTGAAGCGCAGTGGGTTCACTTAGAAGGCAGGGCCGTGGGGCTGTGGGCAGCTCTGGCCCCCAGCTTGGCACGGAGAGGCCCGGAGAGATGTTCCAGCAGCTCCCGTGGGGGCATTTGGCGGAGAAGCAAGTTCGAGGGATGCAGGGACAGATTTCGGGTTTCGGGGGTTTGATTCTCCCTCTTTGCACGTTACTAAGGTTTGTGGCTGAATTGGAACAGGTGCAAAAACCAAAGCAAGGGAGGGATTTGGCCTCACAGAATTCCCGGGGCCTTGGCAGGGTCTCTGCCCCTGCCCCGAACAGAACTGTTTTAACAATAAATACAGTTCGTTGCTACTCCCTTCGCGCCAGCCACTCCGGTTCTAAAGGCCACCCAGGTCCAAACGTGGAAAACTGAGACGTGCAAAGGAGGAAGTCTCCGGCGGGGAGGGGATGGGGCAGCATGGAGACAGTCCCTGTGGGGCCGGCTGTGACCCCGTCTCCCACCGTGGGCTGGTGACTTTCTCTGCCACTCGCTGCCACCCCCGAGGATGGCCTGGTGGGCGGAGGCCTGAGCGGGTCAGGGCTTTGTCCCTGGGAACTCTGGCCTGGTGGGCGGAGGGCTGGTCCCTGGCAGTGGAACCGTCATCTCCTGAGAGACAGTAGTTGTGCCAGTAGCTTCCGTACTGCCCTTCATCAGCTCCCATGTCTGTAAGTGCCTCTGAGGTCTGACTTTAGTCTCTCCTGCTGCTGTCAGTTTTCAATGTTCCTGAGTTGTCTCCCATCGGGGAGGCCTTGTGTGAGGGGAGAGAGACGAGTTGGTCCCTGGTGCCAACTCTGTGTCTGTCATATCCCCTGGGGTCTCTGAACGGGCCAGTGGGGGAGGGCTGGCTCCAAGAACCTGGCAGGACTGGACGCTGGCCCCCACCCCAGATGGCCCAGCGGATCAGTGAGAGATCAGGACTGGGTGCCGCTCTGCAAATCCCTGGGTGCTGAATCCCTGCATTAGGGCGCCGGGATAAACCCTACACGGGGCGTGGGAGTGAGGGCTTCTCTGGCTTCCACCCGCAGGAAGGCCGGCATCCGCCCAGGCCTGCAGGGAGTGAGGGAGGGACAGGGATGCCCCCATTTCCCAGCTGAGGAAGGGTCTGCACGGAGGGGCCGGGGGCCAGGGTGGCCGAGGCCTCCTTCCTCTCCAGGCCTTCCCTAAACTCCCTGCACAGCCACAGGCCCTTTGCACCTGCCATCCCTCTGCATGGTGGTCCCTCCAGCACCTTCCCCTCATCTGCCCACTGCCGCCTCTGAGAAGCCCTCCCTATCCGCCCCAGCTAAAGCGCCCCTGGTTGGTCTCTGTAGCTCCCCTGAAGCATCCCGCCCATCTGTCCTGGTGTGGACGGGCCGGGAGCCCACAGGGGGCTGCGCCTGTCCGTGCGCCTGGCTCCGGGCACGCGCTGTCTGGCCAATCCCTGTCTTGGGATCGCCCAGGAGCCTGGCTGTCTTCCCTGCCGGAGTCTCCCTTTCTTAATCCCTGACACCTGCCACGGATCCTGACTCCACATCCAGGCTCAGGCTCCTAATCTTCCATTGGGCGCTCACCCTTAATCCTGACCTCCGGCCCCTAATCCCCTCCCGGATTTCCCATCTGTAATTCCTGGACAGCCGCCCTGCCGAGTCTTGAATCCCTCGGGGAGGGGCCCGGCTTCCCCTGACGCTGGGGTCCTGGGACGCCTCTGTTCCAGTGGGGGCTAAAGGCCTCTGGGGCAGACCCTCCCCACCACACACGGGGCTGAGGGCCCCACGGGGAGGGGGAAGCCCACCACTTCAGCTCGATGGGCCTCAGTTTCCCCATCTGTCACCCAAGTGGATCAGAAGCCTTGTCTTCCCGTTCCCACCCCAGCTGGCCCTGGAGAGATAGGGCGACTCCCCAGACCAGGAACTCGGAAGGGCCCTGAGCTGGGGGCAGGAGGATGGGGCTGGGCTGCAGTCTGCCTGCCTGGGTTCCAGTCCACTCTGTTACTCGCTGCTGGAGGAGCCTCAGTTTCCCCATCTGAGCCGGGAGAACGGCTGGGCAGCTGCCAGAGGAGGGACTGAGCTTAGCCTGTGTCAGCTGCTGGGGGCCCCTGAAGTCATCACCTGGCTGGGAGGGGTCCCAGGCTTCCTCCCATCTCTGGTGCAGGGGCAGAGGGTCTCCCTGGGGGACCGGCCTCACCCCGTGCCGGAGCAGCAGGAATCTGGGTGTTTCCGCAGGAGTGGGGTCCTCCTCGGGGGCTCATTGCTATTTGTTGGGGACTATTTTTAAAATACAGGATTTAATTATGGTCGTTAACGTTCTTGCTGCGAAATCCCCCCTTGACAGCCCAGCGGCTTGTCCCTGGTCAGCGCTGGGGCCCGACCAGGAAAGCAGTGGGTGGCCGTGGGCTGTCTGCATCAGCTGGTCCCTGCAGAGGCTGATGGGAAAGGGGCAGCCCAGACTTGCTGAGTTGGGCAGTGAGGCTCAGAGAGGGAAAGTGGCTAGCCCCAGGCTGCACAGCCCAAGGGGAGCGAGGGGTAGGCTTTGGGCCTCCCCTTCCCCAGGGACATGGGAACTGAAGGCTGAGGGTTTGAGGCCCATGGGAGAAGGTCCCCACACAGTGAGGGCAGCAGACAGAGGACAGGCCCTGGGGGCCAACGGGCCTGGGTCTCTTCCTGCACCCCCACTTCCTGGCTGGGAAACCTCCCTGGTCTGTCAGTGGGGAGGTGTGGTGCCTGCCCGCATCCCCACCCCAAGAATAGAGGAAAGCATGTCAGCTGTAAAGTCACCTGAACAGGAGGCCCTCATGTCATGTGGCTGTTTAGACTGTTTCTAGGTCCCCAGGGTGGTTTCTAGGCCCCCCTGGGGTTTCTGGGCACCCTTGGTGGTTTCAGGAGCCACGCTGGGGTTTTCTAGGCCCCCTGGCCTTCTCAACTGGTTTTTCCTACTTGTTCTGTTGTGCCCCAAAGGTGGGGGGCTCTCATACCAGAGAGGGTGAGGCTGGGACTCAGAGCTCTACAGTGGACTCTAGGGGATGAGGGCTGGGCAGGCAGGTGGGCCCCCCAATCCCATGGGGTGTGAGGGCTCTGGGGGTCTGGTCGATGAGCAGATGCCCCAGATCAGGGGTCTGAATTCGTACATGGTGTTGAGATTCAGGCAAAGGAAGGTCTTGAATTTCGAGCAGAGTCATTTGTTTTCGCCCTTAAAGTTCTGGGGGGGTACCCCTCCCCAACCCCAGATGGTGTCAACCCTTCTTAGGTCTCTGAAGGTCTTCCTTCCATCTCAGGCAGGTTTGTGGGGGGCTTCCCAAAGGCCCAGCACCACCCCCCATCATGACCGGAGTCTCCTATGTCCTTTTAAAGATTACAACACATGTGGACTGACGGATAGAAGAAGAGACTGAGGTTCCGAGGGGCTGGAGGAACTCGCCCAAGGTCACTAGTGCCAGTGGGCAGGTGCCAACCCAGGCCTGGCTAACACTACCAGGATGTGAGATGTTGGGTCGCTTCCAGCCTTTGGCTCTCGCAGACTGAGCTGCTGTGAACATCTCGGTACAAATCGCTTTTTAATTTTTTTCCATTCCTTTTGGACGATTTCCTTGGGATCAATTCCCCGAAGTGGAACGTCTGGGTTACCCGGGAGGCGTGGTGTTAATAGCTCTTCTCCTGAGGTGCCCTCCTGAAAGGAGCCAATTTACGGCAGCTCCTGAGGCAGGGAGCTCACCGAGGCCATGCAGTGCCAGGGCTGACGGAGCTTTGTTTGTGCTCATTGGGAGAACTGGTCTTCTCTGGGAGGACATGGGGACTCCGGCCACGATGGGGAGTGGGCGGGGCCTATGAGAAGCCCCCTACAAACCAACCTGGGGAGGGATAAGACCTTGAGAGACATAAGGAGGGCTGACTCCATGTGGGAGTGGGGAGGGGTCCCCCAGCGTGAAGGGGAAAACCAAATAAATGACTGCTCGAAATTCAAGACACAGGGTATGGGGGCTCAGACCCCCCATCTGGGGCATCTGCTCCTCAGCGAGAGCCCCTGGACCCAGAGGCATTTATTTATTTATTTATTTATTTTCCCCCCAAGCTTTGGGAAGAATCTTTTGTAGTATATATATATATATTTTTTTTTTATCATAAAATTTGGCATTTAACCATTTTTAAATGTAAAATTCAGTGACGTTACGTATATTCACATTGTTGCGCAAGCACCTACCACTGTCCACTGCCAGAACTTTCTCATTATCCCAAACAGAAATTCTGCTCCCATTAACCAGTAACTCCCGCTTCCCCCCCTAGCCCTTGACAACCACGAATCCATGTCCCGTCTCTGTGGCTCTGCCTGTTCTGAACGTTTCATATAAATGGAGTCTCACACTGTGTGTCCTTCTGTGTCTGGCGTCTCTCACTGAGCACGATGTCCTCAAGGTCCACCCACGCTGTGGCCTGTGTCAGAGCCTCCTTCCTTGTCATGGATGAACAATATTTCATTGTGTGGATGGACCACGTTGTGTGTGTCCACTCATCCATCGGAGGACATGTGGGTCGTGTCCGCCTTTTGTCTGTTGTGAGTCGTGCCGCTGTGAACATGGGCGGGCAAGTTTCCGTTTGAGTCTTTGATTGCAACTCTCTGGGCGCATACTCAGGAGTGGGATTGCTGGGTCATATGGTAATTCTATTAATATGTTTAACTTTTTAAGGAGCCATCAAACAGTTCTCCCTTGGAGTGGTTTTGATTTGCATTTTCTCGACAGCTGAGGGGCCGGGCATCTGTCCATGTGGCCATCTGCGGAGTCCGTATGACCTCATGGGTAGACGCTTCAGTCACGGCACTGTGCCTGGCCCGTCAATAGATATTCCTTGAATGGATGGGCCTTTTCCTGCCAGTGCCTCCCAGGTGGAATTTCGGGATTGACCTTGGGGACTTGCACCCAGTCTGGGTGTATCTGGGAGGGAAGCGGCTCATCGTCTCTTCTCCACGCCTGTGTGTTACATTCAAGGCCTGAACGGTGCCAAGTCCTGCGATTCTCATCCCTCCCACCCGCTAGGGCCCTCTGCTCTGGCACTGCCCGGCCCCTGCCTTGGCCTCTCTCTGCCTCCTGGATGGGCGCCCCGCTTCCTCCCTGTCTCCTGTCACACGTCCAAGGATGCTTCCTGAAATGAAGTCGCAGCTTTCCAGTGGCCCACGTGGGGGCTCCCGCTCCTCCGGAGGGCTTTGGGGCCTGGCGGCTCCAGGTCCCACGCAGCAGTTGGCCACACTGCGCCTGCCGCCGCATGCTCCCCTGTCTGCACCCTGTCCTCTGCCGGTCTGCTTTTTGCTCTTCCCACAATGTTTTCTAAAGCCAACCTTGTGCCAGGCAACATTGTCCCTCTTTGGTCATGTGAAACATTCAGTCTATTTTGGGCATCCTCCTGGGCTTGGCTGGGGCTCCTGCCTCTTCCAGGAGGGAAGGTCAGACTGGGCCACAGGGAGGGACCCGGGCTGCGGGAGCCTTCCTGGAGGTGGGGCCCACGGCCACGACTTTGTGCAGGAGGGAGACAGGTGGGGACGGCTCCCCGGCGAGGGCGCGGTGGGGCCCGGAGGCTGAACGGCCCCTTCCCCCAGGTTCTACTGGGACTTCACCATGCTGCTGTTCATGGTGGGAAACCTCATCATCATCCCCGTGGGCATCACCTTCTTCAAGGACGAGACCACGGCCCCGTGGATCGTGTTCAACGTGGTCTCGGACACCTTCTTTCTCATGGACCTGGTGCTGAACTTCCGCACGGGCATCGTGATCGAGGATAACACGGAGATCATCCTGGACCCCGAGAAGATCAAGAAGAAGTACCTGCGCACGTGGTTCGTGGTGGACTTCGTGTCCTCCATCCCCGTGGACTACATCTTCCTCATCGTGGAGAAGGGCATCGACTCCGAGGTCTACAAGACGGCGCGCGCCCTGCGCATCGTGCGCTTCACCAAGATCCTCAGCCTCCTGCGGCTGCTGCGCCTGTCGCGCCTCATCCGCTACATCCACCAGTGGGAGGAGGTGCGGGGCGCGGGCCTGGCCACGGGGGCGTGGGAGGGGGCGACGAGGGTGCTGGAGCGGGGCCATGGGTGTAGGGGCGGGGGCCACGGACGTGGGGCGGGGCCATAATGGTGTGGGCTGGGCTGTGGCTGTGGGGGTGGGCCGAGGGGAGAGGGCGGGGCCACGGATGTAGGGGCGGGGCCAAAAGAAGGTGGGGGCTGAGCTATGGCTGCAGGGGCGGGGCCATGGGGCGTGGGGGCGGGACCGTGGCTGCGGGGGCGGGGCGACGGGGGCACTGGGGCAGGTGGACGGTAGGTACTACAGGTGCGGGGCGGGTTTCGGGCCCAGATGGGAGGCACCTGGCGGGGATACGCGGGTCCAGGGGCTGGGCCACGGAGAAAAGACGGGGCGGGGCTCTGGGTTCAGGGCGGGCCCCAGGCCGCCAGGGGCGGAGCCAGGGTGGGGGGCCAGGAGCTAGGCTAGGGGGCCTAGAGGGGCCACAGGCCGAGCCCCGGGGTGGAGTCCCAGGGACTGCAGGGAGGGGTCATGGGAGCCACAGGGGCAGAGCCTGGGGGTGCTCTCCCGGGCGCTACGGGGCAGAGCCGCGGGCGGGGTCCTGCACATCCCCAGCCCCCTCGACCATGGGGAAACTGAGGCTCAGAGAAGCAAAGCCACGCCTCCTCCCCCAAGTCCAGACCCGCCCCCCCATACCGCCTCCGGACTGAGGCTGCCTGGACTCCAGTGGCGCTCGTGGTCCGGGCAGCGACGGCGGGGGCGGGGTGCGGGGCGGCGCGGAGCCGGGCGTGGGTGGTGGTCCCCGGAGGGGAGCTCTGGCGCCGGGTGTCGCAGACTGGGCAGGGGCCACGTGCTGTCGCGGTCGAGAAGGGAAGGGACGGAGGTCCCGCTGGGGGCTGCTTCCTCCGCCGTCCGGGCGGGCAGGGGTCCGCGGGACCCTCACGGCCGCCCCCTCCGCACAGATCTTCCACATGACCTACGACCTGGCGAGCGCTGTCATGCGCATCTGCAACCTCATCAGCATGATGCTGCTGCTGTGTCACTGGGACGGCTGCCTGCAGTTCCTGGTGCCCATGCTGCAGGACTTCCCGCGCAACTGCTGGGTCTCCATCAACGGCATGGTGGTGAGCGCTGGACGGGGCGACCCCAGCAGTGCCTAGTCCCCCCATTGGACCCCCCTGGAAGGCCAAAGGCGATTTCAGCCTTTCAGACCTGTGACCATCCAGAGGCAACCAGTTTCCAGGGCGACTGTGACCATTTTGATCACCCAGACATCTGCTTAGTGATTTTCCCAATTGATTTGACTTTTAAATGTACATACACTTAACTTAAAGGCTTAACCTGTAGTCCTAGCTACTAGGGAGGCTGAGGCAGGAGGATTGCTTGAGGCTAGGAATTCAAGGCTGCAGTGAGCTGTGATTGTGCCTGTGAATAAGCCACTGTGCTCCAACCTGGGCAACACATTGAGACCCCATCTATAAAAAAATTTTTTTAATTAAAAAAAATCCTTTCCCATATTGGCCTAAAAAAAAAAGAAAAGAAAAAAAAGAAAAATTTACATCGTAACTCTCGAATGGGAAAGTGGTATTATGAGCTCTAAAAAATAGTAAGTGTCCAGCACTAAACAATTCATAAGAAAAAAACAAATAGCCGGGCGTGGTGGCTCATGCCTGTAATCCTCGAACTCTGGGAGGCCGAGGTGGGAAGATTGCTCAAGGTCAGGAGTTCAAGACCAGCCTGAGCAAGAGCGAGACCCCATCTCTACTAAAAATAGAAATAAATTAGCTGGACAACTAAAAATATATAGAAAAAATTAGCTGGGCATGGTGGCCCTGTAGTCCCAGCTACTCGGGAGGCTGAGGCAGTAGGATCACTTGAGCCCAGGAGTTTGAGGTTGCTGTGAGCTAGGCTGACGCCACGGCACTCTAGCCCAGGCAACAGAGCAAGACTCTGTCTCAAAAAAAAAAAAAAAAAGAAGAAAGAAAAGAAAAAAAATAATAATTGAAGGAAGTCCCAGTCCCGGGCACCTGTTGTTTCCTGGTTGACTCTTAAGGGTGCGTCTTGGGCGCTGCAGGAGTGAACGTTGGGTTCGCACCCAGTGAGCCTTTCTCCTGGCCGGGGGATTGCTGTGCACAGCCTACGGGCACATATGGGACTTGGGATGTTTTTGGTTTGGACACGGAGCAGGTGGGCATCGATGGGTCCGGAGCTGCAGAGGGGAAGCTGACAGGCGCCTCTTCCCGGCGTCTGGCACAGCTGCTTGGGCTGAGGCAGCCCATTGTCTGATGGCCACTTGTGCATGTGGGCCGCTTCCTGAACAGAGCCCGCTGTCCCCCTTCCTCAGCTGGGTCAACTGAGGACTCGGTGGGGGGCACCTCCCAGGCTAGCCTAGGGCCTCTGCCCTCCCTGCCCCTTGGGCTTGACTCTGGGGCCCCCTGGAACTTTCATGGACTCATGGATGCTCTGATGAGAGGCTGCAAAGGCCTGGGGGCCAGACTCTGGCCCTCTGGGTATTAGTTTCCCTTGGTTACCTCTGAGCATGGGGAGCTCACCACCTCTGGTGCCTGGGGGAGGATGGTGGGTGGGCCCTCAGGGGCCAGGGCTCCCTGGGATGTGAGTGCCCACCGCCCTCCCCCTGTGGCCTTGCAGAACCACTCGTGGAGCGAGCTCTACTCCTTTGCGCTCTTCAAGGCCATGAGCCACATGCTGTGCATCGGGTACGGCCGGCAGGCGCCTGAGAGCATGACAGACATCTGGCTGACCATGCTGAGCATGATCGTGGGCGCCACCTGCTACGCCATGTTCATCGGCCATGCCACCGCCCTCATCCAGTCGCTGGATTCCTCGCGGCGCCAGTACCAGGAGAAGGTGAGGGGTCAGGCCCACGCTGGGTCTGAGGGGGGAGGTAGGACCCACCCTGGGGTCTGAGGGGGGAGGCCCACCCGACCCCCCTCGCAGCCCTGCGTGGTGTGTGTGCTCAGGGCAGAGACAGAGGAGGGGCCCAGGTGGGGGCGGGGGGCAGTGTGGTGGGGAGCAGGGACCAGATGGTCTGTGGCTGGATCAAGAGGAGAAAGGAAAGCCCCAGGGCAGAGGGGGCACCTTGGGAAGCGCTTTAGGAGGAGTCCTTGGTCAGGCAGCTCCCTGGGACTAGGGGCTGCAGGGGGACCCCAGAGGGAGAACCAGAGAGCTGGCCTCTCTTGGAGGCTGGGCCGCGTGGGGGTCAGTGGGCCAGCTCAGGACCGGCTGGCGAGGGGAGGGTACACAGTGGAGTCCAAGAGGCCTGCCGTCACTCAGGGCGCAGCTTCAGGGAGAGCAGGGCCGTGTGGTGGCTCAGACTTGGCCTCCTACCGGGGACAGTGCCCTCAGGGCTAATCTCAGGGTCACCCGTGGGGGCCCTTTGGGGGCCTCACTCTCTACTCTGTGCCTCAGTTTCTCCTCTCTGAGACCGCCCTGTCTGTCCTGCTGTCCTGATGGCTGGCTTGGCCAGGAGCTGCAACCCCCCACCAGGGCCAGCCGGGTCAGCTGGGCCCTGTGCCAGGCGCCCGGCTGTCCGGAAGCCGTGGGCCTCACACCCAAACACGAGCTGGTGCCACCACCCGCCCGCCATCACGGGTTCCGCTGAGCTCAGGACAGCTGCGGCTGGGCGGGATTGGGGCGGAAGTGGGGCAGGGGCACCCCTGGGGGCACCATCCTGGGGACAGCAGGGCCTGGCACCTCTGCCTGGCCCCACACCCCTGCCCTGATGGGAGGGGCTGACCCGTGGCTTCTAGAAAGATCACCCAGAGGGGAACCAGGGCCACCAGCATGTGGGGGGACCTGGGGGGTTCTGTCTGGCCTCCCATGAGAAACCCTCCCCTCAGCCGGCGCGGCGGCTCACAGCTGCAGTCCCAGCTACTCGGGAGGCCGAGGTGGGAGGATCACTTGAGCCCAGGAGTGGGAGGCTGCAGTGAGCTGTGATCGCGCCACTACACTGCAGCCTGGGCGACAGAGCGAGATGCTGTCTTAAAAAAAAAAAAAAAAAAAATGCCGAGTGGAGATATTCACCCATTTCTCAGGGTAGGGCTGCCAGATAAAATTCAGGATACCTGGTTGAATTTGAATTTCATATGAACAGCAAGTTTTCTAAGTGTGTCCCAAATATTGCATGGGATATACTTAGATGAAATATTTTTGTTTATCTGAAATTCTGCTTTAACTGGGAATCCTGAATTTTATCTGGCAACCCAACCCCTAAGAATTAATTCAATATCATTTTGGAATTATTATTTAGAATATTAGTCAAGATAGATTATTCAGAATATTAATGAAGAATTAACTTACTATTTCACTTCAAATTTAAATGTAGAAATCAGTATTTGTTGTTGTTCAGTGTGGGGCAGGAGGATCCAGCCCGTCCCCTGGGCTGGGCCTGGCCTCCCGGCGGTGGCGCCTGACCCGGCCCTCTGCCCCGTACAGTACAAGCAGGTGGAGCAGTACATGTCCTTCCACAAGCTGCCCGCCGACTTCCGCCAGAAGATCCACGACTACTACGAGCACCGCTACCAGGGCAAGATGTTCGACGAGGACAGCATCCTGGGCGAGCTCAACGGGCCCCTGCGGGAGGTGAGGCGGGCGCCGGGGGCGGGGGTTGGCTGCAGGACTCAGGCTCAGCCACGCTCTGCCCAGCTGCCGAGCTGCCGGGCTCTGGGTCCTGGAGGGGAGGCGTGGCCAGCCGAGCTGCAGCATGAAGGACTTAAGCTAGACTTGCACACATGCCCTCCCCACGCCAGACTCCCTTCCGTGAAGCCTCACCGCTGCCTCCCCAGACACCACCTGCCTGGTTCCACTCCCCTGTTAGCAGACCTACCGAGGTCCGTGCCACGCGGAAGCGGGGCAGGCTGTCCAGCCCTGCTGAGCACCAGGGCCTGACCAGCTGGTTTAAATCCCAGCTGTGGCTCCTGTAGCCTGTGCAACCCTCGGGTAAGTTTCCTAGGGCTGCTGTAACAGACGCCTACATGCTTAAAAAACAGAGATTTATTCTCTCACAGTCCGGAGGCCAGAAGTCCAACATCAAGGTTTCACAGGGGCTCCCCACAAAGGCTCCGGGGGAGGATCCTTCCTGCCTCTCTCAGTTTCTGGGGGCCCAGGCGTCCCTTGGCTTGTGGACACAGCCCTCCGATCTCCGCCTCCATCTCCTCGCAGCCTCCTCCCCCAGGCGCTTCTCTCCCAGGGCCCGCCCCCTCCCGCGGGCCCGTCTCGACCACAGACGCCTGCAAAGACCGTTTCCTCGCCAGGTCCCATTCGCAGGTGCCGGGGCCGGCCTCCCACGACGCTCGCCCAGCAGTTACTGAGTGTCAACTGTGTGCCCTGCCCTGTGCGTGGTGGTGGGGCGGGGGGGACAGAGGACGGTGACACAGAGGTGTTGGAGAGAGAAGCCCCGGGAGAACCAGAGCAGGGAGGGGCGCGAGGGGGCGGCGGCGTCCGCACAAGGGGAGGCGCGCGCTGCGCTGGCGTCCCAGGCAGAGGGCACGGCAAGGGCAAAGGCCCCCAGGAGGCAGTGATGACGTGGGCTTGGAGACAGGCCTGACACTCAGGGCCTGGGGGTGGGGGGGGCCCATTTACACGCACTGCCTCCCAGGAGGCGGGCGCGGTGGTTAACTTTATTGGAAATGTTTAATTGCATTTGATGATTATTTTCATTCATTCATTTAATAGAGACAGAACTCACAGACCACAAAATGCATGAAATTCCGTGGTTTTTGGTATCTTCACTGAGTTGTGCAACCATCACCACTGTCTAATTCCAGAACATTCTCGTCAGCCCACAAGGGAACCTGGGCTGTTAGCCATCACTCCCCTGGCCCCCTGGCCCTGGCAACCCGGACGTAATAATTATCTAGGCGTTGGCAAGTTCCAAAGTGAAGTCTTCAAAGCCGCCTATGCTCAGAAAAGTCCGGCTTCTGTCCTGTCCCAATTCTCTCTGCCCAGTTTCCACTGCCTGTGCCCTCCCACTTGCTGTTTGCAATACAGCATGTGCTCAATACCTGATTGCTGTACAGTTTACTACCTATTTTTTACATACTAGAGGTGCTCAACACATACTTCCTGTATAGGAGGCTACTGATGCCTGTTTGCTGTATACAGCAGGTGCACAATGCATGCTTGCTGTACACACTCAGGTTATAGAGGGATTCACTTACGTTTTCTTCTGGTACTTGTATTGTTTCACTTTTCACATTTAGAGCCCTGAGACCCCTTTGGAACTTGTCCCGGTACGTGGCGTGGGGACGTGTTCGCCTGCTGTGCGGCCAAGCGCCCCCTCTCTGCCCCGCAACTCGAGGAGTCACTTTCGCTTTATGCTAAAATTCCGTATGTGCTTGGTTCTATTTCTGGACTTTTAATCCATGCCCTGCAATGGCCAAAGCCACGTGGTCGGAACACAGAGGCTTTACAGTGTGTTTCGGAACCTTGCGGGGCAGCCCCTCCTCCCTGCTCTTGATTTCTGTGGGTTCCCTGCGGTTTTTTGCTCATTTGTTCTTCTAAATGAGCTGGAGGAGCATCAGTCACTAGACAAGCAAACCCGGTGGTGTTTTCACGGGGATCACGCCAAACGTGTATGTGAGCAGGGAGAACGGGCGCTGCACGATGGAGAGGCGTCTGTCTAGGAAGTCCAAGCCCCCTTCTGTGCCTCTGGAGGTTTCTTCCTGTCGGTTTGGACTTCCCTTGCTAAACGCACTTCCCTTAACTCTTCATGCGGATGCACACGGTGGCTTCTCGACCAAGTGGTTTTTGTTTATATATATTAATACAAAGGCTGTCAGTTTTCTCTTTAAGGTAAGGCTTTCTTTCTATCGGAACATATCTTACAGAAAAGTGCCCATGTCATGAGGGCGCAGCTCATTAGATATCCCGCAGAGTGAACACCGTGTAACCACCACCTGGATCAAATGCGGAACATTTTCATGCCCGGAAGCTTCCTTGCCACGGGCAACTGTCACCCTGACTTCCGCCACCATCGATTGATTTTAAGGTCCTTGGTTTTTATGTTGGTTTTTTTTTTTTTTTTATCACCTGCTATCTTGTCTAAGTCGCCTTACGTTGTAGTTTTCCATTGATTCTTTCGGGCTTTCTAGGTAGTCATGTGGTCTGCAAAGAGAATTTTTGTTTTTCCCTTCCAAGTCTTATATCTCTAATTGCTTTTTCTTGTCTGATTGCATTGCCACTCCAAAACAGTGTTCAGTTGTAGGGTTTTCTTGCTCTTGTCTTTGGGGGCAATACCTCCAGTGTTTGCCTGTTAAGAAAGATGCTGGCTGTCACGCTACAATGTTAAACCCGTTTCACAGACAAGGAAGGCGAAGCTCCCAGGGATGAAAGGGTCCCAAAGGTAGAGTGAGAAAGAAGAGCCAGAGCCACACACCCTGACGCCACCCCTGCCTCCACCCCTGCAGGAGATTGTCAACTTCAACTGCCGGAAGCTGGTGGCTTCCATGCCGCTGTTCGCCAACGCTGACCCCAACTTTGTCACGGCCATGCTTACCAAACTCAAGTTCGAGGTCTTCCAGCCGGGTGACTACATCATCCGCGAGGGCACCATCGGCAAGAAGATGTACTTCATCCAGCATGGCGTGGTCAGCGTGCTCACCAAGGGCAACAAGGAGATGAAGTTGTCTGACGGCTCCTATTTCGGGGGTGAGCCTGTGGGCAGCAGAGCTGCACCCTTCCCAGGGTCTCAAACGGGAGGCGGGGACCCGGCCTCACTGGGTGTGGGCCTGTGGGGGCGGGGACCGTGGCTGGGACAGGCGTCAGGAGGAGCCTCTGGTGGAAGGGCCAGCGCCCGCCCAGGCACAGAGGTTGGACTGTGCTCTTGGGGTGGTCCTGGGGGTGGGCGAGGGCAGGGGGCGTTGCCTGGCAGCTGAGGTGCCTCTCCCCGCCACATGCAGAGATCTGCCTGCTCACGCGGGGCCGGCGCACGGCCAGCGTGCGGGCTGACACCTACTGCCGCCTCTACTCACTGAGCGTGGACAACTTCAACGAGGTGCTGGAGGAGTACCCCATGATGCGTCGTGCCTTCGAGACTGTCGCCATCGACCGCCTGGACCGCATCGGTGAGTGGGCTGGCCATCGCGGGAGGGAATCAGGCTGCCATGGAAGGGGTGTGGCTGGCGGCCCTCCAAGTCCCTTTGGATCCTGACTGATGCTCTGACCTGCCATCCCACTCGGGCCAGATGCAGCCTCAGTTTCCCAAGGAAGAGAAAGTATGGGGTGTTTGCAGTTGTGCACAGCTTCTGCTCATTTGGCAAATGTTGGGTGCCTAGAGTGTGCTGGGGGGGCAGATGTGAGCCACGAGGCTGACTTGAGGGCTGCCTTTATGAGGCTTATGGTCTGGTGGTCAAATCACCTAGCCCAGCCGTGTGCCAGGAGGGGATGGGTAGGGGGGCTTCCCTGAGGAGGGAATGCTGAGCGGAGACCAGATGAGTAGGCAATGCCATGTAGAAAGGGGAAAGATGTGTTCTGGGAGTGGGCACAGCGAGTGCAAAGGCCCTGAGGTGGGAAGGAGGCCTGGAGTCTAGAGCCAGGGAACCTGGGAGGAGGGAGGCTGGGGAGGCAGGTCGGGGCCAAACACACAGGGTCTCCTGTAAATCAGCACCACGGAGCCCTGGCAGCTTCTAGGTGGGGGATGACCTGACCAGACTTGCTTTCTACAAGGGGGGCAGTGTCCATGAGGGAGATGGTGGTCTGGGGAGGTAGCCTCAGGGCAGGGAGAGGTGGGGGACCCCAGATGTGGCTGAGAGGTGTGCCCTCAGGGCTTGCTGACAACTGCCTGGAGGAGCCAGGGAGATGGCGGCCCTGGTGCTGTTTGGGGGAATGGAGAGGTGTTAGGGAGCTTCCTAGTATACGAAACCGTTCAGCACATTTGTATGTGATAGGCACTCAACGATTTGCTCCAGGCAATAGGTGTTCAACACATTTCTGAATGGCAGATGCTTAGATATACGTGCTGTATATAGTAGGCACTCAGCCTGTGTACAGCCACCTGTTCTGGGTGTGCTTGTTGCACACTGCAGGCACTGAAAACATGGTTACTGTATACAGGAGATGCACATACATGCATATTTGGTTTAGAGTGATACCTGCTCCATGTAAACAGCAGGTACTCAATACATGCTTGCTGTATGCAGAAGGTGCTCCATGTGTAGTGTCTGTACAGTACTCAATACTTGTTTTCTTGTATATAAAGGTGCTCAGCCTATACACAACAGGGACTCAACACCTGCTTGTTCTGCACGGCAGGTACTCCGTACCTAGTCCCTATAGGCAAGAGGGGCTACATTGTTCTTGTATACAATAGGAGCTCAATACCTGTTTGCTATATACAATAGGTGCTCAGCCTATACACAGCGGGCATTCCATGCATACTGGCTATACAGAGTAGGCACTCAATACCTGCTTATTATATACAGCAGGCACTCAATATGCTTGTTCTACACAGCAGGTGCTCCTTGTGTACTTGTTATATACAGCGGGCACCCACACCAGCTTACTCTACACAGCAGGTGCTCAGCCTGTATGCAGCAGGCATTCCACGTGTGCTTGTTGTATGCAACAGGCACACACACCTGCTTGCCCTACCCAGCAGGTGCTCAGCCTGTACACAGCCGGCAGTCCATGCATACTAGCTGTGCACTGCATGCGTTAGACCCCTGCTTGCTCTACACAGCAGGCTCTCAGCCTATACGCAGTAGGCATTCCACGTGTGCTTGTTGTATACAGCAGGCACACACCTGCTTGCCCTACCCAGCAGGTGCTCAGCCTATACACAGCCGGCATTCCATGCGTACTAGCTGTGCGCTGCAGTCATTGGACCCCTGCTTGCTCTACACAGCAGGCGCTCACTCCTTGTGCGCTGCTGTACACAGCAGGCGCCGAAGGAGTGCTCACCGCTGGCGCCCTCCCGCAGGCAAGAAGAACTCGATCCTACTGCACAAGGTGCAGCACGACCTCAACTCGGGCGTGTTCAACAACCAGGAGAACGCGATCATCCAGGAGATCGTCAAGTACGACCGCGAGATGGTGCAGCAGGCGGAGCTGGGCCAGCGGGTCGGCCTCTTCCCGCCGCCGCCGCCGCCGCAGGTCACCTCGGCCATCGCCACGCTGCAGCAGGCCGTGGCCATGAGCTTCTGCCCGCAGGTGGCGCGCCCGCTCGTGGGGCCGCTGGCGCTCGGCTCGCCGCGCCTCGTGCGCCGCCTGCCTCCCGGGCCCGCGCCCGCCGCCGCCTCGCCGGG